GCCGCGAATCCAGGAGGACGCCCAAGTTGCGTACCCTCTCCGAGGGGGCCAAAGTTTCGCCCCCTATAGTCAGCGATGGAGTCAGCTGACTATGCCGAGACGCCGGTAACCACAGCCACTCGGTCTTGGACGGGTTGAGCCTGAGTCTGTTCCTCCCCATCCAGACCCTCACGGCCTCCAGACACCGGGTCATTACGTCCTATTGGGAAATTCGAGAGTTAGAGTTAGATTCTGAAACATTTAACTCAAATGTTTATGTGACTATGAACCGCTTGAGCGAATTCTGGTTCCTTCTTTGTTTCTTTAGGTGGGTGACGAATGTGGAGCTTTAAACTATGATTTTCTATTCATTGCCCCAGGATTCAATTCTCTGAGATTTTTTTTTCTAGCTTTACAGGCATAAAAATGGTGTTATTGCTCTGACAGGCTGAAATAGTGGCTATCGGTGACTGTATCCAATTAAGCTACTGAATCACTGATGGAATTTGAGAACAGAATACAATGTCCGTGTATCTTCAAGCTGCTGTTTGAAGGGAAACGTTATGAATGACATGGTTGCAAGGGTGCAAGTCAGGTTACGCACACGATCAGGGTTTCTACAAGAGGCTGGCAAGAGCACCACTCCTGTTTTCAGATCTGTGATAATGCAAGGCAGTCCTTGACAAATGACCGCAATGAGTTTGCCCATTACAGTCGTAGGCCGTGAGAGCTGCCCTAGGGCTGGCCTGATTTTGCCACTGTTTTTGTGGCGGTCGTTAAGCCAATGCAGCTGTTGCAAAACGAATGCTATGGTCGTTAGGCAAACCTTTTGTGGGTTTGCCAAAACCGTTGTAAAACGCGGTCACGTGACATGATCCCAGCTGGAACTAGTGTGATAACTCCCTTTTTGTAGGCACGTAGCTTGTATCTTTGGATGGTCACTGAGAAAGTGATCATAAAGTCAAGGACCCACTTGTAATGATAACCCAAATATTTTAGCAGTCACAGAAAAGATTTTCTCGCATTTCCATGGTTCAGTTATTCCTGCCAAACATGGTAGCTCTTCCTTCCTTCCTTCCTTCCTTCCTTCCTTCCTTCCTTCCTTCCTTCCTTCCTTCCTTCCTCCCTCCCTCCTTCCCTCCCTCCCTCTTTCCTTCCTTACTCGCTCGCTCGCTCCCTCCCTCCCTCGCTCCTTCTTTCTTTCTTTCTTTCTTTCTTTCTTTCTTTCTTTCTTTCTTTCTTTCTTTCTTTCTTTCTTTCTTTCTTTCTTTCTTCCCTTCCTTTCCTTTCCTTTCCTTTCCTCTCCTCTCCTCTCCTCTCCTCTCCTTTCCTTTCCTTTCCTTTCCTTTCCTTTCCAAACTTCAGTTCACCACCTTATGTGATTGAGTGGGCTGTGTGACTGGCTCAAAGTCACCCAGTGAACCTCCGTGATTGAGGAGGTTCTACACCTTAACCACTGCACCGCACTGTCAGACTCAGAGGTTCATAGGCAGTGCTCTCCTCTAGATCTTCACGGTTGTACCGAGCCAAAATCAACAGCAACAGATTCTGACAGGGACTTGTTCTCAAAAACAAGTTCCTTATTCAAGAACTAAGTCTAGAGGCTTAGAAAATGCATATTTTGGTCATTAACTGAAAGTCACCTTTGAATTTGAATCCAACCGTCCCGTGTTGAATAATTTATTTACTGATCAAAAGATTGCATATGCTAGGGCAAATGGAGACGCTGTCAGTTTCAAAAAAAGCTGCCTGGCTTTTATCTCCATTTTTAGCATCCATGAATGACAAGATGCTGAAAACCAGTTCCTGAGGAAGCATCCTACTCTCTCTTTTTTGCGTGTGTGTAATCAGAATAAGGAGGATTATATTTAAAGAACGGGTAGCAGATTTCAACCCACCTTTGGTTTCCAAAGCTAAATGAATTCCTTTTTTACTTCTTCTTTTTTCCTCTTTTGCTTGCTTCCTGTCATCTTTTACAGTGCCAGGAATGCTGGAATATGAAAGTCTTCAGGGGATTTCGGGCTTAAAACCCACTGGATTTCGGAAACGCTCTTCTAGCATCGATGACACGGATGCTTACACCATGACCTCCATCTTGCAACAGCTCAGCTATTTTTATACCACCCTGTGTCAGAACGGCTTAGACCCGGAGCTTTTAAAGCAGGCCGTGAGGCAGCTTTTCTTTTTGATCGGAGCAGTTACCCTGAACAGTCTGTTTCTTCGGAAAGACATGTGCTCTTGCAGAAAAGGAATGCAAATAAGGTAAACCTGCATTTTGGAGGGAAAAAATAAACAAATAATTAGAACTATAGATTCCATACTTCGATTTAAGGAGAGGAAAAGGATCTCAAAAGCCACCAACAATTAAAAATACATTGGATTGGATAAGTAAGGTGGGGGCAACATGCTAAGCCGTGATAGGTGTCTTGCTCAACAAACAAAACGGTGCTCATGTGTCCCCAGGACCTGGCAGCTGTCATAAATGTGAGGACCGGTCATCAGTCATTGTTTTCACTGCCATCATAACTTTGGAGGGTCATTAAGCAGAAGTCAGGAATTACTTAACGACTGTGTTCATACAACTTCAAGAGATGGTTGAAGAAACCACACACAAGAAGTTTATGCTCCATGCTAGGATTTGCAAGCAGCGTTGGCTGCATTCACGTAACACGCTACTACATACACAAGTTAAATCCGGTGGTAGTCCTGAGGATTTCAGCTCAGATACTGCCAAACATCTCCTAAAGTAGGGGTCCCCAACCCCCAGTCCGTGGACCAATACTGGGCTGTGGCATGCCAGCAACCGGTCCACACAAACAAGGAAAGACCCATCCACAGATTGCAGTCAGCACACAAAACCACGCACCGTCCGGTCTCTCTCCACCGAACCTGTCCCTGGTGCCCAAAAGGTTGGGGACCTTTGTCCTAAAGGATATTTGAAATAAAAATGGCCATTTTCTGCTTCATCTCAGGTGCAACATCAGCTACCTGGAAGAATGGCTGAAGGAGAAGAACCTGCAGAGCAGTTCTGCAAAGGAGACATTGGAACCTCTTTCGCAAGCCGCCTGGCTTCTTCAGGTCAAAAAGATCACAGAGGAAGATGCCAAAGAGATCTCGGAGCATTGCGCGACCCTCTCGGCTATGCAGGTATTAAATTAATAAAGGAGGATATTTGTAGCTCAGGGTTGAAATGAGGGGCCCTTGGTGGGCTCTGAGCTTGGTGGTTTTCTTGCAGACATCACATTACCCAACTAGGCAACATCATCAGTGCTAGAAGGACATCTTTGCATGTCAAACAGAGGGCAAATCCCACGCCCTTCTAGCACTGATGAGGTTACCTAGTTTGGGCAATGAAATATCTGCAAAAAAACCCCAACTAAACGTAAGAGAGCACCAAGGACCACTCAGGTATTGAATTCCTTCCTGGATCTGAGCGGTTAATTATTGACTTTGCTTATGGGACATTGACACTGATTGCACTGTAATTGGCAATCACATGACCACAGGATGCCAAAACATAATTATGAACCAGTTGCCAAGCAACCAATTCAGGGCCATGTGTTCCAGGGGGCCCTGATATATAAGTCTGTCTTGTTCAGCATCCTTGTACTTCAAATGGTTACGGAAAGACTGGGTGTTAAATGAGGACTACCTTGATCTTCCCACCATCAGACTCTTCTCTGGCCCTCTTCTTTAGGGCCTCAAATGCAGTTTTACCTACTATGAATGTATCCTATTGTTTGGGAGTTGTATGGTATATTTTTATTAGTTTTATATTTTTGATATGGCCAAATAACTAAATGCATAAAGATTCTATTCTATTCTATTCTATTCTATTCTATTCTATTCTATTCTATTCTATTCTATTCTATTCTATTCTATTCTATTCTATTCTATTCTATTCTATTCTATTCTGTTCTAATTTCTCTTTTCTTCTATTATTCTATTCTAATTCTATTCTAATTCTATTCTATTCTATTCTAATTCTAATTCTAATTCTAATTCTATTCTATTCTATTCTATTCTATTCTATTCTATTCTATTCTATTCTATTCTGTTCTAATTTCTCTTTTCTTCTATTATTCTATTCTAATTCTATTCTAATTCTATTCTATTCTATTCTAATTCTAATTCTAATTCTAATTCTATTCTATTCTATTCTATTCTATTCTATTCTATTCTATTCTATTCTATTCCATTCCATTCCATTCCATTCCATTTCCATTCTATTCATTATTCTATTCTGTTCTACTCTACTCTAGTGCAGTTTTGTTTTCTTTTCAAACTGGAGTTTGCAAATCGTAACTTCTTTTCCTTCTCTCCACAGATAGTAAAAATCCTCAATTCCTACACTCCCATTGATGATTTTGAGAAAAGGATAGCTCCATCCTTCGTTCGTAAAGTCCAGGTATGATTTTTAAATGCAGTGCTCTATTTTTCCCCTTCTATTTTTTTTGGTCCTTATTTTTAAATGCCAAACATCTTGAGATCTCTTCTGTTTGGAAAGCAGTGTGTCAATCAAGGATATAGATTAAAAAAAAATTAAAACCTGCCATCGTGTAATAAACGGCTTTCTATAGGAGAATGTATCCTCATAAAACTTCTTAGACCCACATGTGCATTTGTTAATTTTCTCTTTGTTCTGATTTCAGGGAATGCTGAACAATAGGCAGAATTCCACACAACTGATGCTTGATACCAAATTCCTCTTTCAAGTGACATTTCCTTTTACACCTTCATCACATCCGCTGGAAGTGATAGAAATACCCAGCAGTTTCAAACTTGGCTTCCTCACTAGAATATAGTTACAAGAACTAATGCATTATAAATTCTGTTCTGTCCCAGCCTACGTGAGTCTTTGTTATGCTCACAAGGAGAAACCCTTTTTCCAAGAAACGGGCACGAAACGCAAGAAAAAACCAACCCCTTTTATTCTCACAGACCTGAGTCAATGTCCAAGGCAAACAAACATAGTCCACAGAAACTCGATTCTGAACACGAACAGTTGCCTTTGGCAACCAGCACCTCCCACACCTTTCCTTTTACAATTCAGCCAAGGCGTGGCTTCCTAATGCCTTCTCCTTTGCCTTTGGAGCCGCCCCATTGCATTCCTCTGTCCTACTCGCTTCTCTTGCCTGCGCATTCGTGCATCCAGGATTTGTCCCAGCTGTTCTTCATCACTGTCCAACTCAGACTCCCAGCACAGCTGTGTCTGAGCCTGAGCGCGAGTAGAGGGGCCAGGCTCCTCGTCCGACTGTGAGTCTTGGAGCTCCTCAGAGCCATCCTCTGACTCTGATGTCACTCCAGGCCCCTCCTCCTCCTCTGATTCCTCAGACTCGGCTGCCAGGTGCACTGGCTGGCAAGGAATCACAACAAATTCACTCTTTCCCAAAGAGCAAACACAGACTATTCAGAGATGCTTCCGTATCTCTGTAAATCTTCTGATGACGATACCTACTTTGCAGCACTGATGACGTTACCTAGTTCGCTAATGGAATGTCTGCAAGAAAACCACCAAGCTCAGAGACCACCAAGGACTCTTCTGTAAAGCTTTTTAAAAATGGGCATTAAGTCTGGGGGAGCAATATGGACTTCAAAAAGTAAGAAATGGAACACTGCATATTTTGTTTTCCTGCCTCAACCCTAGCAACGTTAAGGTATGTGGACTTCAACTCCCAGAATTCTGGCTGACTGGGGGAATTCTGGGAGTTGAAGTCCACACTTCTTAAAGTCGCTAGGTTTGAGAACCAGTGCGCTAGATTCCTCCATATTATATCGAGACCGACCTAATTTTAATTTATATATTTATAAATTAAATTTATACATTTATAAATACTTCTATAATGAAGGATTTTTTTTTCTGTAATGAAGGACTAATGAAGAGCTTATTTTAACCTATGGCATTTGAAACGCAGCTTATAGAATTCCACCACTGTAAATAGCCGGACGAAGATCATAAATTTTGTTGGATCTTTTGTGTGTGCATGGCATGTGTATAATGACAGACGGTGTCACAGATGAGAGTATTCCACTAGATAGCGTGTCAAGTCATTGCCAGACAGATAAGCTAACTTCCTACTTAGCTTTTTCTAGATCATCCCAAACTGGCTCAATGTGTATCTCTTACAACTTTCATCATTCCCAAAAAAAAAAATTAAAATTAAAAAAAAATCATTTGTATATGACAGTGGCGGCAAGACCTTTAAATGCAAAAAGTAGAAAGATACACAATTCCCACAACTCAAATCAAATCAAATCAACCGTTATTGTCAAAGTGCAACATGTGTACAATGAGATTGGCTGAGCCTCCCTTCGTGCACCCCCCCCGACACAACTCACAGTGACAACAAACCCACCATCTTACTACACCATGTGAACTTATTGCACAACACGCCGGCCCCGCAAGTCTATCATACATGGAGTTATTTCCCATTCAGGAGTCTGATAGTCCATGGGTAGAAACAGTTCTTCATCCTGTTGGTGCAGCTGGCTATGCTTCTATATCTCCCAATGGTAGGAGAGTAAAGAAGTGCCGACCAGGGTGTGAGTTGTCTCTGAGGATTTTCCTCACTCTTCTAAGAGTGGAATTTGAAATCAATGGAAATGGTACGGTAGAGATGGCAAAAGTGACTACTTTGGTAAAAGAGAAAAATAATCCAGCTTTGTTTTACAGTGGTACCTTGGTACTTATCCACAATCGGTTCTGGGAGGTGCAGTGAGTGCCAAAAATGATGAATACCAAATATATTTTTCCCATAAGGAATGTAGCTGACACCAATGAAGGCAGCTGACACCAATGAAGTCCTAGCTTGTGCATTGAGTACCAAACAAACAACGAGTACCAGGACAAAATTTTCACATCAAAATGTATCAAGTACCAAATCTATTGAGTTTCAAAGCCGTTGAGTACCAAGGTACCCCTGTACGTGGAAACCATTTTGGGGCTTCTTGCTTGATAAAAATAAAAATGAAGGTTTGATTTTAGGATTCAGTGTTAAGATTTGTTATGATTCCAGAAATATTGTGTATTGTTATTCTTACTAGACACGTACACACATATACATGCATTTGTATATATATTTTTTCTTTCTGTTTAAACCAAAGAGTAAAGGGTGTTTGCGATATATAATTCTAAAGCTATTTGATTAATTTGTACACTTTTATATAATGTTTGTTTTTGTTTTAACTTAAGAGTAAGGAGTTACTTTATATTTGTATCTATACTGAAGAAACTCTGAAGTCAGTCCCTGTTTTTTCTCGTCATTTTTTAACCTTTCCCCCTTCTGATCTCCTCTCCCCTAATTTTTCCTTTTCTGTTGTTTTGTAATTTATCTCTTTTTGGGGGGGGGGGAAATTTAATAAAAGTTCTTTTTTAAAAAATAATTCTTTCAAGGTGAAAAAATAGCCGAGAGAAGGTTTCCACCCTCAGCCTCCTTTTCATATCTAAGTTACAAACTTCTTCGCATGAACTGATGGTGTTAATCATTCCTGGTGAAACACGGATCTTAATTCAAGAGGTCCCAATTTCTCTCTTGGGTTCTCAGAAGGTTTTTTTTTTCAAACCTTGGAGGATTTCAGGGGAAAAGATGCAAACACAGTACAGATCAGGGGTCTTCAAACTTGGCCCTTTTATGACTTGTGGACTTCAACTCCCAGAATTCCTCAGCCAGGCACATGTGCCTGGCTGAGGAATTCTGGGAGTTGAAGTCCACAAGTCATAAAAGGGCCAAGTTTGAAGACCCCTAGTATAGATCAACAGATATTTGCATGGGAACAGCCTCTGTCTGAGTTAAAAACTACATTCACCCATGTTGGCTAGATGAGGAATGGCGAACCTCCCACATGGCCAGTGGTGAGGGCATGGCAGAGGTTCAAAATCTGAAACTTGAGGCCAAAGAAAGGAACATATTCCAGCCCTATTGAACGATCCATTTCTTTGAATTTTCTTTTAACTGTTTCAAACCGGTCTCTGGAACTTCAACCAGCATTACAAGATCGTTCTATATATATTACAGGGTTGGTAAATCCCTCTAAGCAGATTAAATCAGCCTTAAATTCTTCCGCCTGCATTTTAAATAGCCCACCGATTAGCTTGTTGCATTCCTAACACTTCACGGTATCGCTGTGGGCGAGAAAAGGTAAGAAATACCCTTACTGTTTTTGATTACAAATCTAAATTTATCTATAGAGTAATGCTGAAGTGTTTTTCAATAACGTCTGTTTTGTTGTTGGTTGGGCTTGGTACCTTACTTCTCCTGGCAAGCCTTCTCAAAGTGACTTTAAATAAAAACATTACGTTGCAAGAATTGTAAAGGGGTTGCAAGAAGAAGAATTGAACGTCTAAGGTCCTCTAATGCCTATAAATAAAACAGATGTTTTCAAAGTCTTGTTTTGCTCACAAGGCAGGTGTATTTGTATGCAGTAAATGAAAGCTGGGACATGACCATTGAAATAAAGACAAGGATAGAGAAAGCTCGAACAGCATTCTTCAAAATGAAAAAGGTCTTCTGCAGTCACGACATAAGCCTAAGACTGAAAATCAGGCTTGTCAGATGCTGTATTTTTTTCTATCCTGCTCTATGGAGTAGAGAGTTGGTCTCTGACAGAAGGCCACCTGAAGAGACAAGAAGCATTTGAAATGTGGATTTACAGGTGGCTGTTACGTAGAAGCTGGGTTGACAAGATCAGAAATGAGGTGATAAGCCGCCTGGGAAAGCCAAGGAAAATCATCAAAACAATTAAAAAACGAAAATTAGAATATTTCGGACATGTGATGCGACACCCAGAAAAACACGGCATACTCCATTTAATCCTCCAGGGAAAG